TCGTCCAGAGTACTAGAAGGCTTCGCCCACCTAGCCTAGCGTTCCTTGAATGCATGAGTTCCCCCTAGACTTCCAGATCACCAAAGCTTGAATGCATCCGCGTTGCTCACAGCTTGAAGTTTTTGGTGGTGTTCTGTCAGCGATATTCGCATGTAGACCGTTGGCGACCAGTCTTGGAAGGACCGCCGGCCCGTCGTTCGCAGCAGAGAGAGGTAGAAATCATCGAGCAGGTCGTTTTCTTCAGTGGTCCTGGGGTCCTGGCACAGCATGGCACCCAGGGAAACTACGGACATTGCTGGATCGAGCCAGGCCAGGGCCCACGCATGGATTGCCCACCCCATGTTTGGAGCAGGCTCCCCGCTCAGAGCGCCACTTGAACCCCTCCGCTTCCATCCTCATCCCCTCCCCCTCATCCTTCTGGCCTTCGTCCCCTCTGAGACCTCGTTGTCTCGGACAGGCCAAGGACGAGGATCAGTCACTCCAGAGTGTCCCAGGACGCGCTGAGAGCGCTCAGGAGCGCTCTGGAACGACCACGACGAACATGCATACGTCCAGCCCGCCCGCGCCCTCAAAATCCTCACGTCTATACCAGCCCGATGCTGGCCCCGGGGGCCCACGCCTGCATCAGTCTTGCCCTTCTCTTCCTCCTCGCCCGCCCCCTGACGTGCAACGCCGCTGCAGTGGGCGCCGCGGCGCCCGCGCGCAGTTCTTCTGTGGAGGCGGTGCCCCGAAAGACTCGGCCGTTCCGATCCATGTTTTTTGCTGGGACGTTGGAGCTCTCGGGCATCGACGACGAGGACGACGGCGATGACGACGGCGACGCCTCAGGGTCGGCCGCCTCCCAGGCCCAGATATCTCCGACGATGCGATGCGCCTCGGTCCCTGCGTTTTTTTGTCTCGGTTGCGGCCTCTGGGGCTTGCGTGATCGGGCCCCGTGCCACGAAGGACACCTCAAGAACGAGCAACTGCCCCCAGGGAAGGGGTCGGGATCTCTGGTGCCACGCAGGCAGGCAACAATACCGTCGGATGTCGGGGAGGGTGATGGGAGGGGGAGGGGGAGGGAGAGAGGGAGAGGGCGGGGGGGGGGGGGGGGGTGAGGGGGGAGGGGGGAGGGTGGAGGGGGAGGGGTAGGGGGAGGGGGAGGGGGAGGGAGGGGGGGGGGGAAGGCAGAAGGGCGGGTGGAGAGGAGGGAGGAGGAGGAGGAGGAGGAGGAGGAGGAAGAGGAGGAGGAGGAGGAGGAGGAGGAGGAGGAGGAGGAGAAGGAGGAGGGGGGCAAGGGGGAGGGGGGAGGGGGAAGAAGAGGGGACCTCAGAACCATCGCTTGAGACGGCGGGGACGTCAGATGTGGATGGCTACAGAGACCGACGACCGGCGAAGGCCGATCCAATCCTCCGCCTCTGGAGGTCCTCGAAGGCCTCAACAAATCCAGCAGAAGTCCTACATTCCTGTAGAACACCCGGAGGGTGGGCGGGACGAGGATAACTACGCTTCGCGCGTCGCGGTCTGGGCCAGATGGGTTGCCCTTCTCGAAGAAACCGTATCGTACGGGGGCCTCATTTTCCTCGTTCCTCGTCTTCTCCAAGCCTTGATCCTCCACCTCGTCGATCCTCCTCCGTCGAGGTCCTAGAGCCTGTCTTGGCATGTCTTGGTAGTCCTCTGGCGATACCAGGCGTTCCAAGAAGTGGTAGAGGGGACCGGTAACGTCATGATTTGCGCCGGCGCCGTTTTGCAATTCGGTGTTCCTAGCCATCCCAACACGGATCCGTCGCGAATCGTGACGTTAATAAGCCAGGGGGGGATTTTGGGGGGAGCGTGCGGCCTTGATCACGGGCGTCAGTGTGAAGTGGATTATGTTGTGAGTGACTATTTTTATGAGTTCCTGTGAAGCTTTCGTATGCTTTTTCACGACGTGGCTCGCCAGAGGTCCAGACCTCTTCCCGAACACCACAGTCATCGCGCCTAGTAAGGACGCGCGCCTGCATCTAGGGTGCCCTCGTGTCCTTGCCACTACGGTTCGTCCCTTACCGTTTTCATTGGCCGCCCGCCGCCATAGAATCCCGACTTCGGCCTCCAAGGACCCTGTGTCCTTACCATCCGTCCTTAACACACCTTTTGCCTGCAGTTCTTTGACGGTCCCAGGGCTTCCCATGGCCGAGGCCGAGCCCGGCGAACAGTACTGATGGCATCGTTCGGACGTGTGTTTTTTTTCGACGAGGGCCACCGAGGAGCAGACCGGACCATCGGACGAACAAATTTGGGGACGAAACCGAGCAAAGCACGGGGAATGGACGTCCGAGCCATGGCAAGGCCGAGGCCAAGCACAGTGAGCAGTATTTCGTCGCGGTCTTCCCACGCGTGCTCGAGCATACAGTGGGGGCCCATGCCCAGAAGCACCCTGCTTGCCTCCAGGCTGCCCTGTTGTTTTTTTGGGGGGGGTCGAGGGCTCTGCGATGGAGAGCGCGGCGTTCCCGCGTCAAGAATCCATGGACGGCCTGAGGTCTCAGGGTTGGGTTTCTTGTGGTCGGGCCTCCTTTGCATTCGCCTCTGGAGGAACGGGCGCGCCGGGGCGTTGGGGCCGGCCCGGCCGCAGGCGGGTGGGAGCACCGGCTGTGGCGCTCGGAGGACCAGATCCGGGCCGCCCTCTTCGAGGGCGCAGACCCCGTGCACCGCCGCAGGGCGGGGCGCGCTGGCTCGTCCAGCGGCACGCGAGGTGTTTGGCGAGGATGATGGGCCAGTTTTCCACCTCCTTTGCCATAGGTGGGACGGGGCGAAGGGAGGATGAGGAGCTCCTCCTCCTCCTCCTCCTCCTCCTCCTCCTCCTCCTCCTCCCTCCCCTACCTGTGGCAGTGGTGGTGGATAATGGGCCCATCAGAGGAGGGGGGCGGGGGTCGGGCGGGGCTCGGACGAGGATCAATCCGTTCCAGAGCGTCCTGGAGCACTTTCAGAGCGTTGCGGAACGCTCCGAGCAGGCCGCAGCGCCGGGGACATCCTCCAGAGCCGTCGGATCTTAGAGGTTCTCGACTTATCATGTATCCCCACCCGAATTTCTCCTCGTCCTGGGCCGAGCGCGCTGGATCGTTTCGCGGCACGCGAGGTGTTTGGCGAGGAGGGCGGTGGGGGGTGGCCACCGCTACAGTGACCACCACGACCACCTTCACGGCCACTATCAGCACGACAGCCTCCAGGACCACAACGACGAGACACGACCACCCTCCCGCTGGCCCTGACCACGAACCACCACGACCACCACCACCACGACGCGGCGACCCCCGTGACCCCCTGCCTCCCTGCCTTCGTTCCCTCTTGTCAGCTTTCGCATCCTCCCTGCCTTCTCTTGTGCCTTCCCTGTCGCCGCGTTCTGCTGTCGAGAGTATGGGTCCGCCTCGCCCCCCTGCTCTTGCTTGATGGCCCGCCTGCGCCCCGTCCTTCAGTTGCCGGACGGGGGATGGGGGGCGGAGGAGGAGGAGAAGGAGAAGGGGGAGGAGGGGGATAATGAGGAGGGGGAGGAGGGGGATAAGGAGGAGGAGGAGGAGGAGGAGGAGGAGGAGGAGGAGGAGGAGGAGGAGGAGGAGGAGGAGGAGGAGGAGGGGAGGAGGAGGGGGGGGAGAAGGAGGAGGAGGAGGAGGAGGAGGAGGAGGAGGAGGAGGAGGAGGAGGCGCAGGAGGCGCAGGAGGAGGAGGAGGAGGACGAGGAGGAGGAGGAGGAGGAGGAGGAGGACGAGGACGAGGACGAGGAGGAGCAGGAGGAGGAGGAGGGAGGAGAGGAGGAGGAGCGCACGCGGCTAGGCGCGGCCGCCGCCGAGACGGGCAAACGGCCGAAGGAGGAGGAGGAGAAGGAATAGGAGGAGGAGGAGGAGGAGAAGGAGGAGGAGGAGGAGGAGGAGGAGGAGGAGGAGGAGAAGAAGGAGAAGGAGGGGGCGAGGAGGAGGAGGAGGAGGAGGAGGAGAAGGAGGAGCAGGAGGAGGATGAAAAGGAGGAGGGGCGAGGAGGAGGAGGAGGAGGAGGAGGAGGAGGAGGAAGAGGAAGAGGAAGAGGAAGAGGGGGAGGTGGGGGAGCGGGATGGCGGGATGGTGGCAAGTCGGATTTGCGAGGCGAGGTGGCTGGAGGCAGCAGAGCAGAAGGGGGGGAGCGGTCGGAGGGTGCCGTCTGCGAATCTGCGTGTGCGGGCGGCCTGCTCATCCCCCCCCCTGTCTTCCTCCCCCAGCCTGCGGGCTGAGCATGCTGAGAAGGATATCGGAGGAGGAAGAGGTACACATTGTTCATGTCTAGTTTTTCGAACGTTATTTGATTTTTGGGAGGTCAAGATCCTTTCATTTCTAATCGTTCTATCCTGGCCCTCTTCCTGGCCACTAGGGGGCCAGGAACAATTAGAAACGAGCACAATTAGAAATGAGCACGATTAGAAATGAACGACGTGTACCCATACCTCTACCCTTCGCCCGTTTTCCCCTTTTTGGGTCTCCTTGGATGCCCTCGCCGCCACCGCTGGATTATACCTGTTTGGCCTCTCTGGGATAGATCCGTCGGAGTGAGGGGGTATCCGAAGGGTCTTCTTTTCTCCCTGCGCTCTTGACTTCCAAGGGTTTTGATCCAAGGTCGGGCGCGTGGACCGGCGCGTGGACCGGGCACGCGGATCGGACGCAGGAGTCGGATACGCCAAATACGGGGCGCGCCAGTCGGGCACGCGAATCGGGCGCGAACGGATGGGCAGCAAGCCCGCAGACGCGGTAGCTCACATCATTGACGCCGACGATGACGATGAGGATCGATCACCCTTCTCAGGGGCAACGATAGGGGGGGAGAGGCATAGGGGGTGATGCATCGACCCCGAATCGCCCATTGATCGCCGATGGGGGCCCGATAGCCCCAACCTGCACAGGAAGTTGCGGATTCACTATCGGGGGCCTATCGCCGATCCATCGGCGATGTATCGCCCACTCCAGGTCGATGCATCCCCCCTTATGCCAGTCCCCCCCTATCGTTGCCCCTCACCGTCTCGGGATGTGCTGCCGCTTGCCATATCTGGTTCAAGCCTTCGCGGAGCTGGCATGGATGCCGGTGCGTGTCCGGTGGAGGCGCTGCTGCTGCGGACAGAAATGTGTCCAGATGCGTTGTTGCGAGCATCCGCCACCGCGCTTGTGATGATCTGCGCCGCAAGGATGGTCGTGCTTCTTCCAGGGGGGGCAGTCCTTCGAGGTCTCCTTGAGGGCCCTTTGAAGACATGTTGGGGGGCCCTATGAGCCGGAATACCATCCTGGGTGAGGCCACTTTGAAGGCACGAGTTCTGGAACACGTGGCTTCCATAAATCCGTTGGCCTCCCAGTCGGCTCCTGAAGTGCCTCTGGAAAGGGGTATATTTTCATGTTTTGAGGCCGTCTTGAGGGTGAACTATTTCGGGCGACCAGGTGTCTCCGAGGGCAGTCTTCTAGGGTCCAAGGGTAGTCTCTGAGAGCCGTGTCGCCGTTCTTACCCGCAGGGTATGGGCGCGAAGGCCGCGCCTGGCGCTTCGTGTCGTTGGCCGAAGAATCGACGCCAGAGGGCGGAGGCACGCGCAGCACGAAGCGCGAGGGTGACTCTGGTCTCAAGCCAGCCCCAGGCTGTCCTGGCCTTCTGGGCCTCCTAGGACTCGATGCGATTCGATTCGCCGGCGGTGGCCGCGATCCGATTAGATTCGATTCGATTCGGTTTGGCTTGCCTGTATTGGGGCTGCCTAGAGCCAGGCCTGTCGTCCAAATTCGACTCC